GATCCTCCAAAAGTAGTGTATTTTTGGAGGATCCGACATGGGTACGGCAACATTTTGGAGAGTCCGCGCAACATAGCTGGTAAGAGTTGAGGAAAGCGAGCTTCATTTCCTACCTCCTTCCCCAGAATGGTGTGATATCAGTTGTTTTATTATCAGCGAAAAAGGTTCTATTTGAGTACCTCATAGAACAGGCTGCATCTACAGCTCTTCCTTCTGCATATTTAGGCAAGCAGCCTTCTATGTTTTTATATGCCACTGTCAAACAATCTTGGCAGCCACTTTTAGTGATGGCTTCGGCACATTGTGCTACTCCATAGAGAGTAACACCAGCGACTTCTCTTTTTGTGGCTTCATAGAAGCCGCTAATTCTTGGAGTCGCCATGCTAAGATCATTCAAGAGTTGTTGAGCCACAGGATTTAAAGCATTTGGCCGAGAAGCTGTTCGATTCCCACAAATTGCTGCATTTCCTGGAAGTGTAGTCTCTTGGTAGAAGGTGTTGCTCTCGTACCTTTGGAAAAAGGCATCAGTAGAGCAATGAGTTCATGTAAGTTATTAGAAGAAATTTTACTCCCCCTTTTTATCTTTACATTCTAATACAAGCAGCCATTTTAATGAGTATGATTTAATAATTGGAAATTAGACTATCTAAGTGTTTGTGTTTCCCCCTGAGAAAATAGACTGCCTCAGAAACTGGTCTTCACATTACAGGCTAAAAGGTATGGAAAAGTTCAACTTTCCACAGTTTTTGAGTTTAATTGACGATTTTATCTGAATCGAAGATTACCACAAGAAGTTACATGATCTCTATACCAAACAACTGAGAGACTGTTTATAGGTTAGTATTAGGGATTGCATGCAATCAAACAGTAATATAAATATTGCTGTTACCAATAATCTTGACTCTTGAATGTTAGCAAACAACATCATATTAATTATCATAATCAAGGGCTGCCGCATATCATTTAATATATTTGTTTTAGTTTCTTTCTTGAGGGGAGCCTTGGCGTAATTGATAAAGTTGTTGTCATGTGACCGGGAGATCACGGGTTCAAGCCGTGGAAACAGCCTCTTGCAGCAATGCAAGGTAAGGCTGCGTACAATAGATTCTTATGGTCCGGCCCTTCCCTGGACCCCGCGCATAGCGGGAGTTTAGTGCACCGGGTTGCCTTTTTTTTTAGTTTCTTTCTTAGTGGAGATTTTGAAAAAGAGGCCAGAATCTTGAAAATTTGATGTGAAAATACTAAGAGCAATTCTATAGAGATTTCTTAATATAGTCGACTCCAACTAGTATCGAGGTGTAACTCACCCGAGGAAGCAACCATCATAGGTAACACGAGCACCATTAGCACCAGAGCAAGTTCTGATTATAGTAACAGCAGTATCATAACAGGAGACACAATCAGCTTTTGACAAATATTTTCTGCATTCAACCATAGCTTAAACAGCCTGTTGTCTCGTGGCGAATCGCTTATCTTGATTAGACAACTGGTTCCTTAAATCATCAAAACTTGCATTAAGTCTTCTGAAAAAATCAGGTAAATTTGTTGCATTGTATTGACTACATCCTTTGCCTAACAGGTTGGTTTGTGGCTCGGAAAAAACCGGCTTCTGGATCGATAAACAACCGATAACAACCACCATGAACCACCAGCTCCACCACCAGACATAGCTAGTAGCCATTTCTTAGAATTTGGTCCAGAGAATTAAGTTCAGGTAAGAATGCAATGGAAAGGACAAGATGTATGAAGATGAAAGATATTTTTATTTTATACTATACACACAGCAGAAAATAGTCAACTATGTGTATTATGACAACATTAATGCATGTTCAAAGTTGGATTATCTGCTGGAAATAGAGCTAGAATATTAGAGTATTATCTGTCTTTCTCTTTCTGTTTTTTTTCTTATGGATTTAATAAGAGTTTTTAACACATATGGTCCCTGAAATTTGAGGGTAAGTCTAGTTTAGTCTCTATTATATTACTTGAGCATATATGGTTCTTTAAGTTTGCAAAAAATCAAGCACGTTTACAGCTTGTTTGGATTGTTATTACATGTCGTTTCATAATGTGTATTTTATTGTATTTTACTATATTGTATTGTATTGTTTGGATAAATTGTATTGTTTATTGCCGTTTCCTGATGTCACATACTAATCTAATTGACAACATTAAAGCTAATGAATATTTCTCATGCTTTTCACGTGACTAGAGGAAAAAATAATCCCAACAGAGATACTCTTCTTCAATTATATTTTTTCCTTCAATTCTACACTGATCACACAATAATCGAATAGAAAAAGTGTATCAGTAATGAACATAAAACTGTGATGGGCAAGTAGATCCCGATCACGATCGTTATATAACTTAGGAACTTCAAAATTATATAATGTTTCCATTAGTTTTAAAGATCAATTTTAGGAGTTTCATGAGTTGGATCAGAAGTGCTCAATCTCTGTAAACTTAAAGGATCATATACACTCAAAGTAATATATTATGGACAAAATTAGACTTATCCGAAACTTAAGGGAAACAAGAGAAAAGAAAAAGAGCCCATTGATTCAATGAATGATGGTGACCAGGCGGACCCATGCTTAAAGAAGAAATAATAAGATCCTATTAAATTCTGTAAAAATCCTGGATATATATTAAAAAATGTTCATATGATTAAAATTCTTAAGATCAAAAGTCCAACGATGATACTGATAGAGCAGTTCGCTCATGTATCTCACTATCTTAAAATTCTGAGTCCGCCTCTGTCTGTAATCACGTCTAAGTCATAAATTATTGTAAGTTTGAACTTGACCGGTGAGTTTCAGTCAAATTCTTTCTTTTTCTTCAAATCAATTTTCTTGTAAAACTTCAAAAAAAATGTATTGATCACTCTCAGGGGCGAAGTTATGCTCTCTAAGGGTATCAAAAAATTATATATATAGATAAAATATTAGATTTTAGAGGCATATAACTTGTATTGAACACCCGTTGTCGGAAATTTTTTTTTCTTCTTTCAAGTTTGAACACCCTTGAAGAAAATTTTGGACCATTTATAATATTTCTATCCTCTTTATTGGTCGTCTTAAGTTTTAGCATATTTATTTAAAAAATCATATAATTATACATTAAGTAATTGATGAATATATATATATATATAAAAAAAAAAATTATTTTTTTTATTTTTTTGGAGTAGTACTAGTAAGTGTGTTGAATTATAAAAAAAAAGTAGTGACTTCTTAATTTTCTAATATGACAAATATTTTTGGCCAAACTTTATAAGGACTGAAAGACGTACGTATATAATTTATATTTTTGTGATTGTATCAATGAATGAAAAACAGGGAAGGAGGATTATTTATTTATTTATTTATTTTGGCAATTAACTTTTACCAGAAAATTAGTGAAGAAAACGTCATAGTCATCAGTCATCAGTCATCACATGGCACGATGGCGACAGCAACACAACCAAATACATTGAATTAGTTATAAGTTAAAATTATTTTACCTCTGTGAGCATGTAATTTTTAACCCAACATATATTCCTATAAAAATTTAATAAAAATAATTTAATAAATAAATGTTGTTGAATTTGTGCTATTTGTGAAATTGTTTTGCATAATGATAATTCGTCTTTTACTGGTCTATGGTACTCAAGCCGTCATTATCGCAGGAGTAGAAATTCCTTCTTTGAGAATCATACAAGAGGCTGAACTTAGTGACGCAGAATGGATACGAAGTCGTTATGAACAACTGGCTCTCATTGACGGATAAAGAATCAAATTTTTTTTTAATGATTTAAAGTTACATAATTGGGTGCATCATTATCATCATGGGAGTGCAAAGTACTATTGATAATTAATTAGACTAAATAGTAAATAAAAGAGTTGAATTGACATAATGTAAATTAATGGTCATTTTAATCAGTTTATCTAGCATAGTTATGGTTTTAATCTTTCTAATTTTTTAGGAGTATCAAAATTGATTGTTTTACTTTTAATTAGTTGATAATTAGACAAAAGCAAAGCCAATCAATTATTGCATCTAACTAGAATTAAGATTAATTAAATTTGGGCTAATTGGCTTTAAACTACTAAAATCGGACCTGGGCTAACTTGCCCAGGCCCAATTCTCTTTTTATCTACCCAAAGACCCAGCCCAATTCACCCCGTACCCGTCCAGATCCACTTACCCAAAACGACACCATTTTGACTAAAAATCAATCCCAGCCGTTGATCAAATCAGATCAAACAGCTGGGAACTAGCTTGTTATTTACTATAAAAATGTCCAAATGCCCCCCCCCCCATACCCTCACCC